ACTTAACTAACATTGCTTTAACAAACAAATTAAAGATGCACAATGTGGGACTATTTCTGCATTTAGACTCTGAAATACATTGCGATGACTATTTCTCAATAACAAATTAAAATGTACATTTAAAGTTGTAATGTCCTTCTGTAGCTTTAATTGTACTATTTAAACTTATCTTAATATTATTACATCTTAGTGAGAAATTTTATCAAATTGTATCCAATAACATTAATCACACACGTATGAATATTGTCCCATTGGGTAATCATTATAGAAACGGGGTATTTAAAACTGTTTATGAGTGTAAACCCAGTTTCAGCGAATGCAGTCATCAACTTAGAGCATCTAATGCACTTCCAAGAACGTGAATGCGCACACGCTGATGTTTATGTACGCGCAGTGCGTTACGCGGCGCCTCCGACAGGGAAGTCAGACGAAACAGGGGATCCTTGTTCCAGTTCTAGGCTTTGAGGTACGAGTAGATAATCTCGTGCCCAGAAACTGAATTCCGTAGCTTTTAAACTACATTTGAGTAAACGAAGGTGATGAAATACTATATGAACTTTAATGTGTAATGAAATATATTAACTTCAGTGTTTTCTGGAATTGAAACTTGGCTCTTCCGGAGCAATGTGAGACAAAACGATCATTCTGAATACTTAAGATATCTACTTTTGTGGTTATTACAATGATTTTTTTAAATCAATTCTTCCGAATGTTCAATGTATAAGGCAGGACATTGAAACTAAATCTAGATTCGCGTCGCATTCTGTATAATTACGGTTAGTCGCACGTCGGCTTTGTTAATATAAATTATCAACAGATGCACACAAGGGAAAGGAATTCTGAATATTTCAGAAGCAGATGAAACATTTTCACAAATACTAAGTAATTAGCTGTTTACTAATTTTCTCTAGTAACGAGAGTAATTTAATATCTAAACTGAAAGTACAATAAATAACTATAAATCAAAAAATAAAAATTCATTTAAAATTCAGTGTAAATGAAAACTCTGTATAAGAAAACATCTGGTCGACTGGACATTACCTCTATAACTCTTCTAGAAAAATCTTGCATGCATCACTCAGTGTGTTCTGGTTTCTTCTTTGTTAAATTTTTAAATTGTCATTGCTGCTATTGTTTCTGTCTTGAATCAACAATTTAGACTTGGCACTTTTAAGCAATAAAGAATGAAAAATGGGTTGGTCAGGGAATCGCCTTGAGATGCACTCCGGCGAGAGACTACGAATTTAAGGCCGATCATGCACGGCGTTCCAATTGGATGATATCCGTTGGATGCCATCCAAGTGAATGGCATCCAAAAAATTGAACCCGTTCATTGTCACGCTTTATATGGTTCTGAGAGAAACTTCTTATTTGGGCAGTGTGTCCGTGAGTATTACTTGGGCACAATTTTGCATACAAGTAATTCACACTAAGTAAAAACATTCTGGAGATTCAATTCCTAATCAAAAAGCCAATATGGATCTAAAAGGAGAGCCATGCAAAACTTCAAAGTAGTTTTGTAATAATGAAGTGAAATAATGCGGGAGATTTTGAAACGAAAGATGAAGTGACGTAGATAACTTGGCGTGATTCGATTTTGGACTGACTGACTTTTGGCTTTCGATCTCTTCTTTTCACTCCAACTCATCCACCTGTTCACCAAATTTTGGAATGAGAGGATTCCATTTGGATGAATGGGCGACCACAAAGCTGAGTATTTTCTATGACTTGTTGCAGCACACGCGGCGCCGTCTTCATTTGTTAATTATTCGCTGAAGGATTCCTTTGGCTTTGTTGTGCATAATCTTGTGCGGAACTCCGATCATGTTTTACGGTTTTTCATTAAGCCTACTACATCTGAATTCATTTCATAGGTGCATTTAGAGCTTTTTACAATTGATGCATGTGCAAAAATGCTGCAACTTGGTAAGTAAAAAGTAAGAATTGTTGGGAACTGAAGGAAATGTATGAGATCCATTGCATTCCGTGCGAAAGTTTTGAGAACCTTTTAAAATATAGTTTAAGATATGAGAAAGTTTGGTATCCCTTCCCTTCTACACTAATTGCCTACAACACTTATGGGAGACGGTTGAAAACGATTGTACTAATAAAATACATGAATTCTTGGAAAAGTGGAAGTGGTCATAATTGTAAATCGTGTAATCGTGTCAGAAGTGGCACCGGTGCGATTGGCGTGGGACGCAATGGCCGCCCGCAGAGGGGAACGGGCCATGTCCCGGTTATAATCCGGGCCACGATGTCACGAATCTAGATTGTTTGGCAAGCCTGCGCCAGATAATGAAACGCCCGAAATGCGATGCGACAGAACCAAGCTCTTGGATCGGTTACAGAAGTGTCCTTTAGTGGACATGGAAGAGGTTGGTTGAACGACTCTTTAGATAGCATATCATAACATGTGGTCCGTGGTCTTGAAAATATTACAGCGTGGATAAATTAACTCCGTTCGCCAAAAGGGGCAGATCCAGGTGCTCTTTATCATATCACAGATGTGGACGCGTTGGGTATATACAAAGAACGCAACTTAAAATGGACGTACAACCAACGATCTGCAAGGCAAATACCCACGATACGTTTCAGCCGAACATGTGAAGGCAATCGATGAAGGTGGACGGCAGTCCCAGTGCCCTTAGAGCCGTTTGCCATTGACACCATTCTGTTGTCACGCACGGTACGTGCATAGTACTCTTTCACTGAAAGCGGGAATGGCGTTGCATTGCCTTCTCTGATGAGTCACACTTCGCTTTAGGTTATAGCCGCGGACATTAAGACTGTAACGTTCTACGAAGAGGCGAAATACTTGATTGGATATTGGATGCGGAACCTAATCCTACATTTACAGTATGGCCTTCTTACAGTATGGTCTACTTACAGCTCTAGGAGAGTTTATGTAGGGTTTATGGGCAGTTTATCGATTTATCCACAAACTTCTGTAACTCCATTTTTCTACTCTTTTTTCTGCCGTTAAGAGTGGTATTATGTCGCATGTCTGTTCGTCTGTATAATCAGTTAAAATTAATTAGATCGCCGGTGAGGTAGATAGAACTTCATTTTCGTCCCGGAAGCTGCAAGCTCTGAGGATGATAGCTACGCGATCGAAACGATCATTTACAAAATACATTTTTGATACCAGAAAACACCTTTAATTTACCATATTTGATCAGTTAAAACTTGCAAACCTCCCGGAAAATACTTTAAATATAAAGTAATGTTCTACATGTAGGAACATTTCAATGCCGCATTGTTCTAAATGAGAACAATGCAGACCCTATTTGTGTGTTACGAGGGGATTATTGCCAACTAAGGATTGTAGCGTTTCTGTCGCTGAGTCGTAGAAACTTTCTCTTATGTGTCAAAATGTGAAATTGTGAAATCATTTCCCTGATGTTTGGAAATTCTCGGTGAGTCTGGTATGATTGAGTGCCATTATACATAGGCATTATGTTATGTCGGCCTAATCCATTGTTAATTTATTTTACAAGAGTTATATTTACGAAGTATATACTGTTGATGAAGAAAATACCTAAGAATATCTAAAATCAATTGGTATTAAAGGGAGGAAATTAATGTAAAACTTCTTAAATCTGAACTTCCGGAAAAGCATATGGTGTAATTCATACTGGGATGATTAAAATAACTACTGTCGCCCCCCCCGCAAAAAAAACAACAATAATTTATATGTGCATTACCATTGAGTTTGGATTATGTCGTGTTTTTCAAATTTATTTTCAGATATTCAAAATAGAATCGCAGAACGTAATTGAAGAATTACTGTTTTATAGCATTGTATCATGATATCTTTCCAGGCTGATTCACTAATGCTTTCTAGAATTTCTTGTATACGAAATTAATACTTTGAAATCCGGCGCAGAACAGTGTGCATTTCGTGAATGCTCACCTTCGCTATGAAACTCGGAAGACACCTATCGGTCTATCAAGCCAAAGTTTCAACACAGGCAACGCTGTAAATGGCAGATGCCGTCAGTACTATAATTGAAAGAATAATTGAGATTGAGAAAATGGAGAATGGTGTAAAAGTGTGTCACCTGGTTAATAATTTCATGAATTGTGTCATAACGAACGCTGTGAACTATATCAGTATAGCATGAATTGCTTAGTGAGATTAAAACAAATGATTATTTCAATTCGTCGATTGGGGTTCCTGTTTTCGAGGCAACCTGCATAACAAATACCCACATGCTTGAGTCACGGTGGTACATTGCGCTTCTCTCTGCCAGCCACCAGTGAATCCTTGAAGCACGGATGACACGTCGTGATCTGATTGAATTTCAAATGTGATAAAAGGTGAATATTCGAGTCTGTAACTTTGTAGTCCCTACTTGTAACTTTGAAGTTCACATTTTGATTCATTATTTTAAATATATACTTGTATGAATATTCATTGTTTATTACTTCGTCTACAAAATTCACCCTTAAACTGTTGCATTGCGGTCACCTCATCGAAACGTACATTCATAAACCCAGGTTGCCTAAACCACAGTTCGTGGCTTCATACCTAGTTGGGGTAGTCACTTTTCGGAGGGCTGAAAATTGTCAGGGTGTCACACTTGTGGCGCATAAAATAATTCTGGATAAATGTCCGAAAAAATTAAACCTACCGTCCGACCGTCCGACAAAATTAAACCATTTCTCATCCTAATCAGATTGAATACTCTTTAGAGATGGAACGAAAAACGCAAAAAATGAAACTGAGTGGTGGTTGTTATAGTGTCGAATCCTGACACAGATACACGCAAATTGACATATTACTACAAGTGGGATTTATCGCGTTTTTTAAAAACGTTTAAATGGCCAGCGGGATTTAAAATGACGGTCTTCGCGCTTTGTGAGGACCGGAAGGTCGGCGACCACGCGCGGAAGCAGGGTCGAGTGCGGGTGTGCCGCATCGTTCGCCAGAATGCGCGCGCGGCGCCGCCCGCGCCGTCTATATATACGCCGGGTGACGTCGCGTGGCTCGGCAGCGCCGCGGCGACAACACCAGTCGCAGGCGCCGGCGCCATGCGGGACGTCGCATTCGTTCCGCTGCTGCTGCTGCTGCTGGCCTCTGCCGGCTGGCTCCCCGCCCCCGCCCACGCCGCCTCCGCCAGGGGAAGGACTGTGGGGAGCGGCGCCAGGCCACGGCGCGACCAACACCACGCAGGTAAGCGCGCCCGCTCATTTCAAACCATTCGTGTCTCTGTCGCCTGTTTTTTGTTTCCTTTACGCTGTTCTATCACTTCTTTGTTTCTTTCTTTCCTTATTTTAGTTTATTAGTTTTAGAATAACTGGTAAATACTTCGTTCTGAAATACATTCTTTATTTTCTTATTTTAGTCAATTAATTTTAGAATAACCTGTAAATAAATCGTTCTGAAATACATTCTTTATTTCTTTATTTTAGTTTATTAGTTTTAGAATGACTGGTAAATACTTCGTTCTGAAATACATTCTTTATTTTCTTATTTTAGTCATTTAATTTTAGAATAACTGGTAAATAAATCGTTCTGAATTACAACATAAAACGATTACGTACTGAAGGAAAATTGAAAAATTGTATGAAACCGTCCAAAGAGTTTTTTTGTTATTATTTTTTTAATTGTTTTAAATCTATTTTATTTTTAGAATTATGCATTTTGTAAAATTTATGTGGGTGGCTTTGTGTCATATTGTAAGAACTTGAGAAAGTGTTTTTGATTGAGGTGGAAAGTTGCTGCTGATTTTTAATTGTTACCTCTGAATCAAAGTTTTTTTGAATGGTTTTTGTTTCCGAATCGAAGAAATTATTGACGAGCTTGGGTTTCTGAGATTCGGTATTTTGTTTTGGGGGTTGATCGCGCTGTTTTCAACAAATCAGGAAAGAGCCGAAATCAATCTTTGCGTAACTTTCAATTCTCTTGTTCAGGCCTCTGAACAAATACGCATGTTGTTCAATACATTTCAGTATTTCAAAACAACATAAACACTCGTATAGTGTTGATTTCAATTTTTGTAGTCAGTACACTCAGTCGTTGGTACAGTAGTGTATTGAAATTATCGGCAAACTGCTATCATTAAAACACTCTTCTTGAAAGGGGAATTTTCGCTACTCTTGTAATAGTCTTTCAGCTCTAGATGAGAGTACTTATTCTCTTTGGGATGTAAATAAAGTATTGTGTGCTCTGTTTTGTGTACTAACAAGAGGCAAAAATTGTATGGAATCAGTCTCATACTTAATACCTAGCATGCACTGAGTAAAGAGACGGAATTTGTGGTTGTAAAGAGACTGTCACAAGTGTAAGGTGTGTTGAAATAAATTGTAAGGCATAAGAAGATGATATCGTTTGAGAAATACCCTCACGTTACAACTTCCTGCAGTTCTTCGTCTGCAGGCAAACTACCTTCACAGTGTATTTATGGTGCTAACAACTCAGAAACTTAGAAAGCGAAAGTGTTGTTTGCCGTGAGGATGATTCATCCACTGTGAACAAACAAGTTGAATCACTTCACGCACTCTACTTTATGACTCTATTATCATTATTTTTATTATCATCATTATTATTATTATTATCATTATCATTATTATTATTATTATTATTATTATTATTATTATTATTAATTCCCTCCACATTTCCTGTCGACGTGCAATTATTGTCAATGTAAAACTGTGGCAACGTCGTGTATGTTACAGTGGAATAATACGAGATATGTCAAATACAGTGACAATTGTCATAAATAAAAGAACACGTGTCACTGGGTGGTTGAGTGGGCGAAAACTCCTAGATCACGAAGATTTTTACTGTTGGAAATTAGCTAAGTTATTAATTTGAGAGTTTGGAGAACAGTTTGTAAAATTATGTTTTACGTCACTTGTGAGAGAAAAACGCCGACCCTTGCCACTCCTCCCATGACCTATACATTCGTAATTGTCATCGTAATTCAAGGTTATTAATATCAGAGGGCAGGAATAACCGTGAAAACCTAAGCGCTTAATAACATAGATAAATTAATATTTAACTCCTTTATTTCAAACTCAACTTTCTTGGAATGAATTAGCTTGAATTAGTTAGTCTGAAATATAAATACCTTTAATGAAATTTAAAAAGTTTTCCCCTCATTTCAGGTGTGTTTCGCTAAAAATGGTACTAGCGTCAATACAAACTTCGATCGCTAAAATATATATTGTGTAGGTTACGCGGACAACAAGCAGTCCGTAAAATTCAACTTAGACGTAAGAAGAACTTTTAGAAGAAAACATTAAAGAACATTTCTGTTTCGTTGTCACTAGCATGTTGTCGCAAACACTGGCCGGAGTCCCGGGGAACTCGAGAGGAATGACCGCACACAAACACTCCGGCGGGGGGGCTTTGGGGGGGGGGGAGTACCGTTGGATCAGTCTGCTTCCTTTCTTTGCGCTTGCGCAGGTCGGGCGACAACGCTGTCACGTGCTCACCCTACTGCGGGAATCGTTTGTGTCATGACCTGGCTAAAGCGAGGCATTTCGTGGCTAAAGCGAGACATTTCATGTATTTTAGTTCAAGAAGCACGAACACGAAAACTGCCCAAGAAATGTAATGTATTTACTTATTCTGCAATGCATGTAATACCCTTAACAAATTCTTAAGGTCAGTATACATGGAACAGTTTTCGTGCAGATTCTCATACAGTTTCTGTACAGAAACTTCAAGATCCCAAACTAGAAATATGAAAGCCAAAAGTCGTGTTTATACGATATGTACGTTTTCTGTATGAATCAGAATTCTGTTCGAATAGCCCACAAGATGCCGCTAGGGGGGGGGGGGCTACCGGGGAACAACTGAATTGCGCCGTCCGAGTACTTTCAGTGGCCGTATTTCTGTGCGTGCGTTCTGGCTGTATGATCTTTATTAAGTATTAATGTACCTTGAGGAGCAAAGAGAAGAAAAATAGAAAGGATGGAATAGGGAAATAGTTTATCACAATATCACTTCGCACAATCGCATCTTGCCACGCCTAACCACAAAATCGAAATAGTCAATTACCGTCGCGTGGGGTAAAGAAACCCGTTAGTGAACGAGTCTGCCTCTAGAGGCGCTTGAATCAAACTGTAAGCTATCTGCACAAACAATTACGAACATGCTTAAAAGTTTTCATACAGAAATCATTCAGTCTGGACTGCACGTTTTCTGTACATCCAAATCTGCCCAAAAACTGTACCGTGTGTACCGACCTTTACTTTCTTCTCTAGTTCCAATGGCATAATTTAAGATAAGATACATATATTTAAACTGCAATGGAGTGTAACCCAGTGGAAGTTAATTACATAAATAAGGTAATAATTACACGCAAATAATTTATAATAATAATAATAATAATAATAATAATAATAATAATAATAATAATAATAATAATAATAATCGAAAAACTGATGATTCATAAAACATTAAATTACAGGAAGAAAAAGAAAAGAAACGTCTATAATATAAAACTGCCCTGAATGTTTGTACAATTAAGAGCGCTATGCATTGGCACTGCACTGTCCTTCACTTTACTGCACTTCACTTCACTACACTATAACACTTCCTTCATTAATTCTCTGCTCTACACTGCACGACACTTCACTTCACTATATAACCTAATTTCCTAGTTAACGCCCCCGTAAACGTAGGAATACCCTAAATTAATTTTCCAAACGGTTGAACGCTTCGAACTCAATTTTTGTACTACTTCATTACTAACGCGTGAACACCATTATCACGCGTTGTAAAAAAAATAGTGTGGGATTATTTTCAATCAACTTTAAATAGATGAGATTGAGTACTTTAAAAATCAAGAACGAATCGAATATAAAATTCAATTTAAAAAATAGTAAATTCAATTGACTGGCTGCATAATTACTTCTATAAGGTCACATTTTACCCTTTTTTGACACATAGAATGTTGAAAAATAAGTCGTCTTGTTGGGCTGAAGGAAACGAAATATACGCGATGTAGGAAAGAGTTTAGTGAATGCTTCAACGAATTATTTTGATGAGAATGAAAATATATTTAAAATGTCTCTTATTGTAACGATATTACCCTCCCACGGAGAAGAGTTAATAAATACAGAGATAAGGAATTGTGTTTCTCAACCCATTCACAGAAGAATAGTTGAAGAGAAGTCGGAAGAGTTCATTGAGGTTTCTCAGTAGATGGGTGCGAAGATTCTCCAAGCCGGGAATCGATTTTGGGCTGCGCCCCGTTTTTGTTACCTATCTCCTTTAAAGTCTTCATGAAGAGAACCATGCTAGTTAAAGGTGTTTTACCTCTCCGGTTAAATGGTAGTTATCTTTTGTGAAAGGTGAAACTTTTTCCCCAAAAGTTTTTGTGTAGATGTTACTGGATTTAATAGTTTTTAAATAAACAGTATTGATTGAATATTGTCACTAGACAGTATTGAAAAAAATACTCTTAATATTGCTATTGCTCTCTATACAGAATGTCCGGGAAGGAAACGTCTAAAATTCGAAAATAATCCCTTAAGACAATTTTAAACATATTTTCTCTAATAAACTACGTGGATACTTCAAATGGCTAAGCTGCAATAAGCACTCAAAAGGCGGTTTGAAAAAAATAATTTCTAGACAAAAAATTGTATTATAAAATCTTATAAACACTCCAAAAACATGTAAATTGTTTGTTATTTACAAAAAAATAATATATTGCTTCAGAAAGAAAAATTAAGCGAGAAATAAAAAAAAACAGCCGAATTGTGTAAATTATGTGCTTTTTTTTAGTTTCTGGATTAATTTTTCTTTCTGAATAAATATATATTGTAAATAATAAACAATTTACATGTTTCTAATGCAAATTTTTGCCTAGAAATATTTTTTCAAACCACCGTTTGAGTGCTTATTGCGGCACAACCATTCAGAATATCACAATAATTTATTAGACAAATTATGCCTAAAATTGTCTTACGAGCTTATTTTAGAATTTACGACGTTTTCTACCCGAACACTCTGTACATGTTAATATTAATATCTAGATAATTAGACTTTTCGTTCAAGAGAGAGTTCTTGTCAGGAATTAGAATAAAAATGTTATGTTTATGCATTTTGAAATATGAATTTGCATTTTATTTCCATACAGTACGTTTCAACAATCAATTTACTTGTGATATATTGATATTACTATGAAAATATTCGTAAAGACATAAGTTGGATTGTTTTTTCAAGATGTGATAATTAATTGTTTATGCGTAAACTTAAGTATATTACTTAAGCAGCTTCTTTATTGTGATTTGGTTACCCTAGATCTACATTCTCTACATAATATCAAACTCTGATGTTATTAGATACGTTTAGTGTACTTATAGTAAAATTAATTTCACGAGAATTCACAAAACACTGTTAGTGAAATAAACGGTCCTTATGAGCCTGAGTATTAGAAAGGGTGAGCCTAGTGTTGATTGGGCGAATTTAACGATGTGGTACAGTACGTGGGGGAACTTCGAACGTACCTGAAGTTGTAAGGCATGAAGTTCATGTAAATGTGATGTGCCACAGTGGCAAAGTGACCCATTATAGTAAAATTGAACTACTGTGAACACACTGTCAATTCCGAAATTTTTCATTCAATATTTTATTTTTTATACTAGTTTTCACATCCTGAATATTTGTTTTGAATTCTCTCTTTGGACCGGCAAAGAGACTGATTAATAAGGTAACAAAGGAATTAGTGGTTTTAACTCAAGTATCCTAAGATTATGTTTCTATTTTTTGTTAAATACTTCTGGTTTGTTCTGTTCCTCTTTCTAAGTAAATAGTACCTGAAACCGAAACTGTACTTTACTTTTTCACATTGATTGTCTTTCTCAGCAGTTATTAAAATAATTATTCTCTGATTTCACAGCATGTTTCGTTGATCTGATAGAAGATTTGGCTGAGAAAGAACCTCTAATCCTGCAGAAACAATGCACAAAAAATGTATGTTCATGGAAACTTCCGGAAGGTGACGAAGACCAACTTAACTTTGAAAGAGGAGAAGAAGTATTGATTGCTTGCCCAGACAAAAATAACGAACTACAAGGTTTCGCATCCCAAATCAAATCTGTGGTGGCTGTTTGCTCTGACAAACCTGATTCTAGTTTCAAGGTAGATGATGATTTTTTTCAATGTGCATGATATTCACGCCTTTCATATTTGTCGTCGAGTAAATACCCGTTTGTATATAAATACATTAACTCGCCAAAGATATTTTGCTGACTCATTGTTTACTAAAAGATGTGAGAAAGATCTTTCGGTCAGAGTGATTGAAAATCAACTCGCGAATAAATTATGTATTTTTTTTGTTATTTAAGGTCGCATCAACTACTAGGTCATTAGCGACCACTATTGCGTGTAACGGTATGGTAACTATGAGGATGACACGATATGATGATGATAGGGGTGTGAAAGAACGAACACAATCCTTCGATCCGAGATCGCTACGGCACTACTGCCTAAATTGTCTTCTATTATTACTTACTACTCACTACTTATACACTAATAAAAGATGGCTACGCGGACAGATAATAAAAAGCTATCGACCCAAAACCAATACAATAGTAGATAAGACAAGTGTAGTATTGTTCGATACAGAAATATCCCCCGGTCCTGCGTTAAAGAGATTTAAGAAAAAAACAACAACATAGAAGTTCGTAGATTGTGGTATATTTGGGAAGGCACAACTCACAACACGCATTCCGCTGCAAAATACTTGACCGTCGTGCATAACTCGAAAACGGCGCATTCTAGGGCCTGAATATCATGTACGGTAGAGGACAAAAGTCCAGATTTTAATGACACAATCTATAAACTAAATACGGATTTTCTATTATTTTTGGGAAGATCCCCCCTGTTACATGGATTCCCAAAAGGTTGAAAATTGGGTTTCAGCGACAAGTTTTTTAAAAATTAAAATAATTATTTAAGAAGTGTTTTCTTTGTAGATTACAATTCTCTTAAAAAACATTACTGTGAAATTCTTCGGTATTATCTATATTACTGTAAAAAATTAAGGTGCTAACACTTATGTGCTGATGTGACTAATAAATAAAAAATAAAATTACTAGAGCTGATAGAACCACATTGACAGCACTTTGGGAATCAGCAGTGGTAATTGTTCTAACCATTTTTCAATGTAAAATTTCCGGAACCACAAAAAAAGATATTTTAGGTCCCGGTGTATTTACTTGAGTTTTCGAGTTTTAAAGTGAAAGATAACTGTTCAGTTACACTCCGGCAAATGGATGTCGGGAAAACAGTCGAAAAAACTACTTATAAATAGAAATGCTTCTTTCCAAGAGCTATCATTAGTGACAATTTTCCAAGTCCATCTCTTCCTTAGTTTAGGCTGCGCTTTAATTTCAATTAATAATCGTTTTATTTATATTAATTTAAAATACTCAGGGAACGTGGTATGCTCTATTGAGATATATGAGCATTCATGATTGTGTTAATCATACCATGTCCCAGCCCGCCAAAACCAAGAATACTACTTGAATTGTCATGTGAATATTCTTTGTCGGATTAGTTTTATTTATTGATTGATTTATTTAATTGAAAAACAGTAAAAATTGAATGTTATGTACGAGGGAGAAGATCAACTGCGCACGTTTTGGAGTTCCAGAACCCCTTCCCAACATTTCGAGTCTAAATAGTAGAAAAATGATCAAAAGTTTTAAAAAAAATAAATAAAAAAAGGCCGATTATATAGCCGATTTCGCTAAGGCAGTAGTGCTGTAGTGGTCTCGGACCAGAAGACCGCGAATTTGAGACCCGTCTCAGGCATGTGTGTATGTGTGTACACCTGTATGTGTAAGTTGTTCTTTCACCGCTCACTTTCATCAGCATTTCCTCTTCCATACAACAACCCTGGGGGTGAAAATCGGATCTAGGTAAATGCTGATACCATGACCAAAATTGCATGAATCTGTCACCGAGATAATGTTACTGAGCCCCGGTAAATGCAGAGTGCATGCACACGTGGTCCAAGTCGGCCTATTCACTAGCAAAAAATAAATACGTTAATTAATGATAATAAGTATTGATATTACTGATATTAATTAATTAGTCAATTAATGAATAAGCCCGAAATTAGTATCAGTTATATAAATGAGACTTTCGTTCCCGAGTTGTAGAAAACTAAGTTGCTTCTGCAAACGAACCCCATATTTGATTCCTCTCTATTTCCAACAAAATAGAAAGTGATCCCCAGCTGTACTCCTACCACTACAAGCAAAATGAGAGTATAACAAAACGTGCGCATGATGAAGCTACATTTAAAGTTTAGTTAAGTTAAAATTACTCAAATCATCAGTCCGATAGTGCCTTTCTTCTTAAAACTATTTTTGTTATATATTTCTAGTTTTAAGAATCAAATAAGATTTAGCACAAGCAGAATGACATTTCTCCGAAAACTTTAGTGCAACCCAATAAGCTGAATGGATGTTTAGGGCACTTCCGTTCTTATGCCTTTCAAGGGCGAGTTCTCTGAAGCTAATTTTTTTCTTTCAGGTAGATGGCGAAGCTTTCACCATCAAGGACTTTGAATGCGAGAGGATCCCAAAAGGAGAAGTTATGACCAAGAATGTAGCTTGTGGTCACAGAAATGCCGAGTTAATGGAACTCGGCTTCACTGTTCGAGAGCAGTGGTATTCGTTGATAAAAGTGTGCCATGTTAAGGCGCGATCAGAGACACTGTTTACTGAACACATTCTCCAAGGAGAGATGACGAAGAAAAGACGGATTGCAAAACGCCCATCGTTTGAAGAGGGTGGATGCGGTTGTTATCAAGGATTCTCTGCCAACGACGCGTACAAGAATGTCAACAAAACTTTACGGGAAGTAATTGGGTCTTCGAAATTTCCGAGTTCTATCTCATCTAATATAGACAGGGGTCATTTAGCACCGGATGGTGATTTTCTTATCATACCCTATCGCTATGCAACGTATTTTTATGTGAATGCTGTTCCAATGTGGAGTGTTATCAACAGAGGAAATTGGGTTGCTCTGGAAGATAAAATTAGAAAATTAGCAAGGGATCTCGCGACTGATTTGCATATTGCAACTGGCGTTTTTAGAGTAATGGACTTACCCGACCGTAACGGGAACCTACAAGAATTATTTTTGTATAGATCATCCAACAGAAAGCAAATACCTGTTCCAAAATTCCTTTGGAAAGTGGTGTATGATGAAAAAAGCAAGAAAGGAATTGCTTTTGTCGTGCTGAATGACCCGTTCACAAAAGCCATTGATTCGGATGATGAATTGTGTCCGAATATATGTAAAGAATCAGGATGGAATGATAATAGATGGAGAAGAATATCACGAGGTTATTTGTACTGTTGTGAAGTGAAGGAACTAAAAAAATTCGTTCCGTATGTACCGAAGTACGATATAAAATCAGTTCTGACTGGGTCAGATTAGGAGTTAACCTTTATTGATAAGGTTTTTTAATAATCAGTTGTTTTATCATCAATTAAAAATGTTGCCAATATTCATTTCTTTGAATATATTGAAAAGTAAATTAGATTGATTCTCCAGAGAATTATGTTAATGTGTATTATCAAACCGCGACACAATTAATGGATGTGTTGTATTTCTATTACCGCGACGTGTAAAATTTAATTTTATTTAAAATTTACTGTGTACTAACTACGTATAAAAATAAAGTTGGTACTGTTCGAGTTCCTGTTAATTTTTATCATGAGTGTAATGTGTATCTCTTTTCTTTTCAAATTTTTATGTACATAGTATTCGTGTACAATTTTGTGATATTGTAAAATTTTCTTAACTCATATTCTGTATGATATATAACATAATAAATTACTTCAACTTACATGTCCGTGTATTTTGTTTCTGATTATATAAGGGGATTTTCATGTGCGGAAAAGATAGAATTTCTTAATGATATTTTTGGGTGCAGAAAAAATAAACGTATTCTGACACTTCGGAGAGTTATAGTATAACGAATTTACGACACTTTTATTGCAATTAGTAACATTATATTAGGAACAATTATGAGAAAGAGAACTAGTGGTTGTAAATTTGACGAGTGACACATTCACGACTTGCAACTCTGAAACAATTTCAAAGGAATTTCATATTTATTAACTTTACATTTCGTTTAAAAAGATGTAATAAAAGACAAAGACGTCTACTTTAAGACCATTTTTGTGGCTCTTACAACAGTTTGAGCCAGTTCCAGGTTTTAAACTGTTGTTGGGAGTACAAATAATATTGTCGCCGAGATTTTTACTTTGTAGTGTGCCGTTTTCCATGTTACGTAATCACTAGGGAACTTGATTGTTTCTCGACATTAGTACACTCATTTTCAGCAATTAAAAATTGTAAGAAAGTTCCCAAGTTTAGTATTTTGAATTCTGAATTTCAGGGAATGGTACCCAATGGCCCAGATAACACTTTTGTGGAATCTACACCGAAAATTTAGGTTTCAGATAATAAATGGTCTTAACACATGCTCTGAAATTTCTTCAGAATGTGAATTGCAGTTGCCCTTCTAAGTTAGGGATCAGGGGCGCGAAGTAATACACACACACACACACACACACACACAAACACACACACAAACATCAAGTGACAGAAAAAAACGTACTACGACTCGAGATACTGCCTGCAAATGTACAGACATCACTATTTCAACCATGGAAAAGGATTTTCATAAAATTTCTTATTTTTCTTTCGATCTTCACACATTTTAAAGGAGATATGTCAAAGCAATGCACGTAGTATGGTTATCTTTAAATTGCATTCCTTTTTTTTTAAAGATTTTGAAAGCTGGTGAATTGGCTTTCCCTATCACTGCTGTCAATGGCACATAGGTTTGACTTTTGAGGGATATTGGGATATGTTTTTTGTGTTTTGACATATGAAATTTTTCCTAGTTGAATTTGAAGAAATGTTTCTATTTATTTTAATCTAGCAATACTCGGAAAAGCGTGTAAGAAAGGAGGGTAAACTAAACTAAGAATATTTTATTGTTTTAACAATTAAAAGTATGCTACTAACTGTATATGTAATGTAACTCACTATATTGATTCTGCACGGTGCTTTATTTTTCTGTATATTTCTTGATTTTTCATTTTCTAAAATCAATTTTTTCTCTTTGTTCAAAGCAGATTTTTGTTCGGATGTTAATCCAGACTTTGCGGAAGAAACCAATCTCTTGAAATGATCCGGTGACATAGACTGAAATAGAAATGTCAGTCAGAATGTTACACTTTACTATTCTGGTTTATAGTTCAGAACGTATTTTTAAATAATGATGTAAATAATGCTTTCTTTTATAACAGCTAATACAGAAATTATCATGAGCAATGGCTACTATTCCAGATGACACCTTGATACTTGGAAATAGATCACATTAATTTTGTTTCTTACTATTTTGATACTGGAAAATTACTACAGAAAGATGTAGCACATCAAGAATTTTTCTGAACACTACTCTGACATTGTTCGTGAAACTCATATCTCGTGTTTGCATGAGTTGCTTTAAGGACCCGAATTGTGCTTTATGCACGCTCGGACACAAGCATCACTGTAAGCTAAGCCTCCAAGTGCCTTTTCACAGGTTCTATCAGGGACCGCCACCAAACATGCGCGACAAATAACCAGGAAATATACTTAATTGCTGGGCTTACGGTACAACCGAGTTTGCACGAGATATTTCAATTACATAAGTTTTCTTGCGTAACCGCCAAACGGATGTTTTGCATTTAGGTAAAAGAACTAAATTACTAAATGTCCATATTGAATGGTACGTACAACGTGTATTATGGCCTCTGCTCCAGATATTACTATTATCTGAATTTAGTAGAACTACTGCTCATGAGAATGATAATAATATGACGATTGATGTGTTGCAAAGACACTTCTATTGCTAAACGAAAATCCTTTATGAAAAGCTCAAATATTCTTAGAAATAGCAAAAATATGAACAACCTTACCTTTATTTGTTCAATTGTGAGACATGGCACCGCCTGCGGAGTCATTCCTTCCATGGCTGCGGTTGTGATAGACGAAAATGAAAACAACGGAAGACCTCCAATTATGCATCCCACAGAACGTACCTGAAAAATTGACATATCTCATATTAAATGAATAATGACTGTCATTGAATTAAATAATGTGATACGTTGATTTTAACATTAACTAATTTCTGGGAACTTCTAACTCATTAATGTTCATTTATGTCATTAAAGAGGTTGTTAACAACATAAAAACTAGTGGTGCTAAAACAGCTCGTACTTTCTCGGCCGTATTTTTACGTAAAATTACGCAAAATGTACTCAAATTTCCAAAAATTAAAAAAAAACATTATTTCAAAATCTATCTTTAAGGAACAAATTTCATTATGAGAAACATTTTTATCTTCAATATTTAAGTTGTAGGAAGATTCCGAAAAATGTTTGAACTTTTGCCATTTTCAAAAAACCAAGGTTTTCAACGAATATAAGACCTGTTTCAAACTCTTAAAAGTTCTTCACACGATCCAACAACATAATTTAATTAAAAAAATGGAGCCATTGTTTTTAAAATTGAGAAAATGTCCCAAGGGTTCCATGTAAATTAACATCTCGGATAAAAATAAAACTAAAAATTAAAATATCGTCAGGCAGAAATATGCTTTGACGACTTTCGATTTTTCGTTCAAGGGCACAAAAAAAACTGAATTCTGTCTACACCAAATTTTAGACGATTTTAATCTAAATTTAGCATCTGGAGTTATTCAGTTTTTCGTTACTAGGGCCCTGTAATAAGACTTTACAATCGAGAATTCCCATTTTCTGCGTGGAATTACATAATATTCTCTCTACTCCGTAGCGATAAAGTAATGAGTTTTACATTTCATTGTGTGTTCTTTATTTCATACATTTAATAGGAAATGTGTTTTGAAATTTCAGTCTTACTTGAGTATCAGTCCAGTGAGCAGGGTCTCCAAATGCTTTTGAATCCGTTGCCAATTTTGCCAGGCTTTGCAAAACTTCCTTAGGGCAATTCTTCAATCCTGCTAGCTCGGGTGCTGCCTCCCTATTTTTGAAATAGCACACAGGATACGATTAAAGAAATTTTAATTGTGTAAGTGATGAGGATGTATTATTGATTATTTTATTTTTCGTGCGCATCTATTTTTAAGATCATACACTATGTGATCAAAAGTATTCGAACACGTGGCTGAAAATGGATTACCAGTTTGTGGCGCCCTCCATCGGTAATGCTGGAATTCAATAGGGTGTTGGCCCACCCTAAGCCTTGATGGCAGATTCCACTCTCGCAGGCATACTTTCAATCAGATGCTGAAAGGTTTCTTGGGGAATAGCAGTCCATTCTTCACGGAGGGCTGCACTGAGGAGAGGTATCGATGTAGATCGGTGAGGCATGGAATGAAGCCGGCGTTTTAAAACATCCCAAAGGGGTTGGATAGGATTCAAGTCTAGACTCTGTGCAGTCCAGTCCATTACAGGGATGTTATTGTCGTGTAAGCACTCCGCCACAGACCGTGCAGTATGAACAGGTGTTAGATCGTGTTGAAAGATGCAATCGCCATCCCCGAAGTGTTCTTCAATAGTGGGAAGCAAGAAGGTGTTTAAAATCTCAACGTAGGTCGGTACCGTGATAGTACCCCACAAAACAACAAGGGGTACAAGCCTCCTCTATGAAAAACACGACCACACCATAACACCATTTTGGACGTGTCCAGATACTTTTGATCACATAGTGTGCAGTATGAACAGATGCTAGATCGTGTTGAAAGATGCAATCGCCATCTCCGAATTGCACTTCAACAGTGGGAATCAAGATGGGGGTTAAAACGTCAACGTAGACCTGTGCCGTGATATTGTCACGCAAAAGAACAAGGGGTGCAAGGCCCCTCCATGAAAAACACTACACTATAACACTATTTAGATCACATAGTGGTATGATCACGTAGTGGTCCCGATGAAATTGGGCATACAATATCGTGGCGCTGACCTACAGGTCATCTTGCAGGTTTCCCCTCTTCACGTTTTTCCGCCTGCGGGGTACCGCCACAGCCGGTAAAAGTACCTGTCTGGTCTCCCGACATGTATGTGGTAGTGTAGTGTAGGTAGCTGAAAGTGTGTAAGGGGTAAAGAAAGGATATGGAAGTTGAAAGAATGATTGCACGCGGCCCGTAGATCATTTGTTGAAGTACTGCCCGGCATTCACCTAGTACTGATCGTATAAATGCGGAAAACTACCGATCAGAGCAGCCTGATCACCAAACAGGAGAGGTGCCTCAGGGTATCGATTGAGAATATCACTAGAGAGCCTTTGACTGGGAGGTCCTAAGTTCGAGTCCCTACGGTGGCAAGATGCAGTATTTTCGATATTGGCTAGTCGGCTACGTCGAATTCAGTCGCTGTCTGCAGAAGAATTCCAGCGGCCGGCTGCTCTGATCGGTAGTTTTCTGTGGTTTATCCGATCAACAACAGGGCACAAAGAAATGAGCCATGGGCCGCGCGCGATCTTTCCTTCTCCTTCCTTGTCCTATCCTCACCCCTTACGCACACTTCCACTAACTATCACGTATGCCGGAAGACCGGTCGGGAGCTTAGAACTGGCCCGGCTGGGGCGGTGTCCAGCTGGTTGGGTGATAGCTGGTTGGGGAAAACCTCGCTAGCCGACGGTAGGTTGGTGCTGGATCTTGCCATCCTGCAGGGGAAGATCACAACCAACTCCCAAGGAAGAAACATTCACTACGCTTACGGGACTAATGACCTTATCAGTTCACGAGCCCGGAATCACTAACAATCAATGAAGCAGCCGGCTCCTAGAATTCTTCTCCAGACAGCGGCTGATTTCGATCTAGTCAAGAGCTAATGTGGAAAATTCTCCACCGTCTAGCCCCGAACCCTGGGACCCTCCCTGACAGAGGGGCTGCAGCGACGATCACTGAGCCACCTCAGCGAGTATAAGGACAAAAAAATTGTCGGATAGCGTCTGATGATATTTCATGCGATATAAACGTATTAGAATTGTTTCTTAGTTTCTGTTTCCGGCTTAAAAACTTTCGGTGCAAACAAATTCAAAGCAAATGAAAATGGTTGGAATAAGATAACCTTACACTAAAATATATGTTCAATTGTGATGTGGAATGACATTTTAAATTCCTGAGCGTACGTAAAGAAAGAATCTACCTTTCAAACTCAAATATTTGCATATTTCAGCAAAATAGAAACTGTTTCATTATTTTTGTATTTTTTTTAGACTCTGAGTATCTAGCAAAACCTTTGACACCTCTCACATGGCCGGATACTGTATTGTTCTCCGTCAATGTACGCGAATATTGGATTGTGTGATTAGTGTTTTCGGGCGCGTCCACTGATAAGGCCATTAGTTCTATTAGTGAAGTAAATGTTTCTTGGTGAGAGAGGTGGCGATGGCGAGATCTAGCGCCGACATATAAGTTGAATTAAGGGGTTTTCCCCAATCAGATATCTCCCATGTGTGATAGTGTTATGCTTGTAAGCGTGTGTAAGTAAGGGTGAGGATAGGACATGGAAGAGGAAGGGAAGATCGCGCGCGTTGCGTGACCCGTTGGCCAGGGTTCTGCTCCGGGATTTGCCTGGTCTTTATTTGGAGAAACCACGAACAAACTATATATTAGAGCAGCCGGCCCCTGTAGAATTGTCCTCCAGACAGCCGCTGAAGTACACCTAGCAAATCCTGCGGGACTCGAACCCTGGGACCTGATTGTCAAAGGCACTGCAGTGGATTGGGTGGGTGTCGCTGACCTGTAGGCGTCCGGCTGCAGGCGCTGCAGGTCGCTGGGGCGGAAGCCGCACAGGATGCGGCGCAGCGCCGCCAGGTCGAGGTGCGAGTACTCCTCCGGGCGCTTGCTTCCCCAGTCCTCCACGATGCGCTCGGCCAGCGCGCACAGCTGCGAGGCCACATCGATGTTGAAAATGTAAAAAAATCACCAAAACATCGAATTTTTAAAAACATTGATGTCTTGAAAACTGCATTAGTAACCAATACTGGTAACGCAAGGGAATTTAATCAAGGTTTCATTAAACCTTCATTTATTCATCATTCATTCAACCTTCGTTTGTAGTTGTAGCTATTAGCCTTAAACTGCGTCATTTCAGATATCTGACGAGAAGGGAGGTTTCTTTGGAGAGGGATCTATTGCTATGGTGTATTTCCAGAGGCAGGAGGTAAACAAGGTAGTCGGGTGGAAGTAAGACAATAACAGGACTAGGCTGAATTATATCGTCCGAGCGACTGAGGATCGAGCAAAGTGGAGGAATGTAGTAGCTGCAACAACAGGAAGAATAGAAAGAACTAGTATAAACGGGCTGCTGCGCATATCTATAAATGGATCACCCGAGGTCGCTCGCAACCTGAGGAACTACTCCTACAACTATTGGGAACGCAGGAAGAATAATTTGACGATGGTCGCATTTATTTTTAATTAAGATTAACTAACAAATAATTCTCGAAAATGTTCAGAATATCTAACTAAACTTTTTTATTATCTGATTGGATAATTATATAATTATATGGAATTTATTTTTCGCCGAAAACTCGATTTTAATTATTTTTCACTTTTAGTCACTTTGGTCCGAAGAATATTCAATTTATGGATATCTGAAATTTTTTTACAGGTTTTTATTATGATTGTACGTTTTTCATTCAAAAATAAAATATCAGCCTTGTAAAAACATCGAGCACTATATATTCATTCTATCAATGAAACTTCGATGGAATTGGGTGCGCGAATCGGCTGGCACGCCGTTAACGATGCAATATTTCAACAATTGTTGGTCGCACGGAATCCGACGCGCTTTGGGGTACGAGGTCGAACTTATGTAGTCGTCAATCCTGAACTATTTAGCCCTACTAGTTCTGGCGCCTTACAAACTTGTTTCTTTTGTCTATGAGTGAGAAGTCATGCAGAAGATCTTCGTTTCAATTCTAAAAAATATGATGTTAAGAAATTGCAGAATAAATAAATAATTTTGTTTTCCGATAGATTCAGCCAAGCACCTTCACTAAGATGGTAAAAATATGACTTTGCCATGTCATAGTATGAAAATTATCTCGTATTCTTTTGAGAGAGTAGTTTTAACATATTTGCTTCCATTACATGTCACGTAGACATGTAATGACCATTACATGCTACATGTCACGTTTGCTTCCATTACATGTCACATAATAATTTCAAAACGAATGTTTCCTGCAGTGACCACACTGTATTTTACTACATCAGACTGTCGTATTTAAATTATTCTTTGGTCACAGTCAAACGCGCAATCGCTGGATTAATTCTACCGAACAGCAGTCACATTGCATTCGACTGCACCAGATATTCCTCTTCACATTATTACATGTAAGCGACATGTAATGGATAGGAAACAATTAAAACTGCTCAATAAAAATTTATAATATGAAATGTATTTGATATGGTATGTCAAATGTTTTTAAAATATACTTTATATTCCTACTGCATTAGTTCTGATAGAATCGTGTTGGGTAGAAACCATAAGCAACCTATTATATTAATTTAGAATATTTTCTGTCATAGTTTTCGGCATTTGAAAAGGAATTCATTCAAAGGGCTTCTCGACCATAAGTTAACAAAAGGTTATCTACGACTATTCCAATGCCTCGGTTCAACGAATAATTCAAGTACGTATGATATAGTTCTGTCGAAGTAGTAGTTTGGCCTCGTTTGCCGCAATGCTAAGGATGCACTTCGTCCGTGCATGCCCTCAGGTGACTGCTTGAGATATTCAGTCGTTAACGCCGTGTTCGTTCGAACGCAAAATCAGTAGGGCACTGATTCATTCTGTGTGTTACCCCACATCCACATTTTCACGTAACTTCTCGGACTGCTATTTGTTTGCAACGTTACTGAAGAGTAAGCTTCTGTATGCGCACGTTCTTTCGGTGCCCGGAATCCCAATCGCTTTTCTTTGTCCATGAATTATCGCGTTATGAATAAAAGATAACGAGTGTTATTGGAACATGTTCGATAACAAACAATTTTCTCTCCCGTGAATTAAGTACTATTTGCGCGGCAAACAGGCTACTTTGATTTGATAGTACTGTAGACAAAGTAATTAATGCGTCTAACAATGCATGTACCAAATTGAAAGATCCAGAGAAATTCGAAGATAGTGTTTTATTGCTAAGATGTGAATAATGGGCAAGAGACATTATAATGGCTCATGAGAATTTAAATGAAAACAAATACGAAAGTTTTCAAATTGTTTGTTTTGCTGCTTGATAAAATTTAACATTACAACAGCACTGATAACAATCACACAGTTACACATCTATTAAAAAATTGAATTATAATTTTTATGACATTGAGCTACTTTGAACAAAGTTGTGCTATTCGTATGAAAACCAGGACCTTCGAAATCTATGCGTCAGTACGACCGTCTTCCAGAATATTAATTTTCTTTCTTGCATGATGAATTACCTACTTTTCTCTTTCCAATTAAAATATAAACTGATTCACATAGTGCCATATTTGTTTGTACACAACTTTATTGGATGTATATTACATACAGGAGTTAGTGAGTGAGGGAAGTTAAAAATGGAGAGCCATTTTCACAGTAACATCTAGGCATATTTTGCACACTAACGGCTACACCATTGATTCTAGCGGAAAACGTTGTACCGTAAATGTAGGTAATTTTATCCTCTGTAATTTCATGTCAGATTCATGTTTTTCAGTTATATTGTGATAAAGTGCGATAATTCCCGTTTTACTTTCTCTTGTATGTACTACATATACATGGAGCAATATTCGAAGTGCAGAGAAAGTTATATAATTCTGCCGAAAATCGATTCCAAGATTTCAACGGAAATACTCGTTTTGGGGTCCCCTGATCCAAAAAAGTGTAGTTGTTTCTTTAACGTCCGTCTGTCTGTGAACATCACTAGCGCCTAAATTATGCGTAGGGTTTTTTCCAATTGAAGGAACCCCTGGTTATCTGGCCCGGGGTGAAATTTGAGATTTTGAAAAGCCTTCTTTAAAATTTGGGGGTTCTTTACATGAAGCCACTGGGATATTTTCAATATTTTCTCCAAAACGGTTACAATTTCTTTCTTTAAATTTTTTTAACATGTTAAATAGACTTATAAAGGTGACATAGGTCAGATTTTTACAGTTAACTTTGAATTTTAGATAATTGCAAAAGTTTTAATTTTTCGGCGTCTTCCTACAACTACAAAAGTGAAGATCGACACTTTTAGGTTAAATGAAATTTATTTTCCGTTCTTTCATTAAGATCATTTACATTTTTTATACTTTTGGTAGTTTTGCGCAAGCAAAATTGCGTGCAGTCTTCGTAGTATTAAAGAAATCCCGAAACAAGATATTCTCAAAAGTCTCTAAATTTTTTCTTTACACTTTTGGTATGGATAGTGCTAGATTCATTCTATATGATGGCATAAACACCATATTGCTCTATTCTTGTATTTTTCAGAAATTATTTTTTTTACTTGTGTCTCACATCGTTAATATTTACATTAGCGGCAATTTCTTCACGCGTTAAAATAAGCTCCAAAATCCGCATTCTCAGAAACACTCAGACGCCATTTGCTCAAAAATGGCTCTCAAATAATTTTTCCAAACTTTGAAGAAACATCTCTCACGTCTTTAATTTGTACATTTCCAGCGATTTCTAATCACTTTCATTTGAGACCGAAAGTGCTTCAAATTAAGTTTTTCAAAAACTCTATAGTTTTCTGCGAATAAAGATTCAAATTAGCATTTCCAATAACGCCTTTTTCTTAAAAACGGCTCCAAATTTGTCAATGAAAATTGCCATTTAGAACAAAGTTTTATTCTTCTCTTTTTAAAGAAATATTTCTGTTCAGCTTTTAGGAATCCAAAAAATCGAAAGAAATGTACTTTTGATGGCGATAGATGGCAGCATGCACGAGTATGAGCCAAGTTTGAATATCTAGTCCCGACCAAAGAAAATAATAAACTAATACGAGAAAGACTGTGCCAGTGTGTTCCACAACTAGTTTAATGTGATTAGCTTATATCAACAAATTTCGGGGAGTTCTCATGGCTAAACCGGAGTTTAAATGAAGAAATTGGAGAAAAAAATTACTGACAATAAATCTAGAAACATTTATCTTCTTGTATATCATATATGACCATTATTTAAGAGAAATGGATAGTTTTTGAGTTATTTAAAAAAAAACTGAAAAGGAGTAATGTTTACATTCGTTTTTGCTTCAAAATCATTTGTATGGTCCAAATTCTTGTTGCAAACATGTTATTCGTGTTCAGCAACACAGAAAACATTTAGATAGCAGATATCAAAAGTACTAGCTATTTTCTTTTTTTGAACACCATTTATCTGAACTATATTACGTTTGAAAATTCAAAGGATATATTTTACTTTCAGCAGTAAATTGCTTTTGTAGTTGAAAATATTATTTTCAGTGAACCTGAAATTTGTATACAACATCTAATTGGGATAAAGCACAGAAATATAATTCTTATCGCACATAGTTGATGTACGATTCAGAATTAGGCGCTTACGACTCGGCCTTCAGGAAGAGCGTTATCGTGTGCGGAGGGGAGAGGAAGTAGAAGCAAGGAGTGGCACTCGCCGCAGTTGAGAGCAACGGACGGAAGCCGAAAACACCGCGAGTCGCCCACCTTATCGCCTATGAATTCGGGTTTCCGTTACACGAAAAGACAAACCACGCTCATCGCGAGGGCCAATGATTATTTCAGTTAAAACTATTGTTTTCCACCTCTGAGCATTGGTGTTCGAATCCCGGTCAATCGATACGGAAGTTGTCATGAGGAAACTGAGCTCGAGGCAGATTTTTTCGGGGTTGTCCCGTTTCTCCTGACATTCTCCATTTTCTATCATTCATTCCATCATTATCATCATCTATCCGCGCCTGATGTCTTTGGGCACCAGGGAAGTGACAGTAAAACTAAAGGCTAAGTATTCACCATCTGAAATATCTTCTGACTAACCGATCAGTAGAATACTAGAAAGCACATCGATTTGGGTCTTTGTTCAGTAAAACCGCACTCAAAGAGTACTTTTTGACACAATTCTAGTTGGTATTAACTCTATTAAAATGACATTAAAAAACAAGAACAATTTGTGAAATAACAATATCAAGAAGTGGATCTAGAATCAGAAATAGTTGTGTTTTCGGAGATATATTAACGATTCCGTGTAAGTCACAGTCACACTTATAAGCACTACACTACCAGACATTTCTGGAGCATACAGTGCCCCACTGGTTGGAGATACCTGGTTGGAGAAATCCCGCAAGTGGACAGAGAGCTCGCCGCCGTGTCTCGCCATCTAGTGGGGAAAGATTACCGCCACTTCCCGCGATAAAAAAAACAGTCATAAATTCTATCACACTTCTTGTTCGTCAGTTTCAATTATTCAAGAAACTTATTTGGCCATATATAAGACGAACCATTTATAGAAAACTATTGCATTAACTAAAACATTATTGTATTCGTACAGCGCAACGCTTCGAGGGTCACAATTTGCCTCATCATCAGGCTTAGTGTGTTACAGGCACAATTAACAGAGGAATTAAATGATAAAAAAAAATTCGTCAGATAATAAAGCTCAGAACAATTAAAACATTAAAATTTCAGTCATCCTGACAGACTGTCGATTCGGCGTGCCAAATGTGATGTGACTCTCCAAGAGTTATTGGGAGGACTAACAACCTCAACAGTTTGCGCGCCCGGAATCACTCGTGGACGCTGGAGGCAGAGGGAAGGACGCGCCAGAGAGTGTTTTACCGAGTCGGCACCAGAGAGGGCGCGCGCTGACCTGCAGGGCGTTGAGGCCGGGCGCGGCGCCCAGCGCCGCCACCGTGTCCACGTCCACCACGGAGAGGTTGCGCAGGTGGTCGGGCGGCGCGCCCGCCAGCGCCCAGCCCAGCTGGCGCAGCGTCGCCTCAGGCACCGCCGACGCGTCCCCGCCGAACTCCTGCGGAACACGCGCGCCCAGCCACACGCTTGCAGGATTCAATCGGTTCTTTTTAAAACACCGCCAATCAGGAGTTGGGATTTTTTTAAAGGTCGCAGCAATAGCTAGGTCATTGATGACCCCCTATAGATTAACGATTTGGTTAACAGTATGATGTGATACAGTCATGGTGTGGGGTGAAAGGACAAACACAAAAACAATCATGCCAAAAGCGGCTCTCGAACCAGTGATCCTTCAGGCCGAGGTCGCTAGGTAACGCTGGACATTCAATCATCTGGTAACGCTGGACATTCAATCATCTGGTAACGCTGGGGGGCAACTGCGTCGCGCACCTTGAGGGCGGCGTCCCAAGCGGCGCGGGCGACGTCGGGCGCAGGGGGTCTCTCGCCCAGCGCTGCCAGCGCTTCCCCGCCCGGCGGCGGCGACGGCTCCTCGCCCGCCACGCCCAGCGCCCACAGCACCGCCCCCGCGGCCACTGAAGCATCACACGCACGTGGTTAACGTAGGGACGGCCTCAGGGAAGCCTGCGACACGTCAGGAGGAACGTCGGCCTCTCAGCCGACGACGCGGCGTCTCCCGGAGAGCCTAGAATTTATGGAAGCTTACGTGTGCATTTGCTTGACGTAGCCGGCACTTTGATTAACATAGACACGAGATGGTGTTGGAAAGACTTTACGTGGTGGATGGGATGTGTATGAGTCTGCTGTACGCCTACCTCGATTTTTTCTTCTTCCAGGGGGAAGCCTTCACGGTGGGTTGGGCACCTAGGCGTTGGCCTCTATCCGCAACCTCCGCCAACGAGCAAGTACAACAGGCTGGTATTACTCGCGCAACTTTTTTTGAGCGAAGGATCGAAGAAATGCAATCGTGTAGTGGGGGTATTACTTACGAAATCGGCCACTAGATTCATCATTCTCAATAAATTGCGTTCTAACTTTCTCAGGAGTTCGAGATATACCCTATCCTCATTGTTGTTTGTTGTTTTGCAAGTAAATTTGTTGATTATGCCTTGAATTGTTTATTCCCATTCTGAAAGGTTAAAGGGGAATCAGCAAATAGTATTAATTTTCATTTCTATTTCATATGAGCAGTGCTTCAGTCCTGAAAGGGGTTAATGATTAACGCTGACATGCATCGTGCACCGTAGTAGGCCACGAAACGGGCTGGCATTTAATTGGAAACGGTTTTGCAGTATTAGCATCGCGCTGACGAGGCAGTCACACAATCACTGGCATACGTTGCTCCTAGTTTCCTCACTTCTTGTGCTACATTTAAATTCAAATTTTGAATGTCGCGTCCAAACAATATTTCGATTATACATGCTCCTTTTTGCATATTACGTGACTTGCATAATATACGAAAACACCGAAGCGAGAAAATCGAATTAAGAATATTCGAGATATAAAATGTTACACTACCAACTTCTACACGTTCGCCGGAAATGAGATTAGCGCCGTATTTTTTACCGCCTCTAGGTAATGATGTCTTTAAGATGTCAAGTATGATACAAGTCTCTTAATTTCGAGCCATTTTTTTAGGATTTTTTAAAGTTTACAAATTGCTTACATTTCACGCATTAACACAAAAAAATGTACATGACCTTATTTCAAGATCTCCTTTTAAACAGATTTAGTCATGAACAAATATTTATCTTTAATATTGCAGTTGTAAGAAGACGCCGAAAAAAAATTGAACTTCGAAATTTTCAAAAATTTACGGCGGAACAGGAGGCCTGCACCATTCCCTCTAATTTCCTTTACGCTATATAAGAACAAAGTTAAATAAAAAATTGGAGTCATTTTTGAGAAAAATTTAAAATGTTGAGGTTGTATGGAGAGCGCTGTACGAAATACTTGGACCCAATTTTTAAGTACTTTCGTACTTTAGTTATTTCTGTACTAATCCTTGAAAAACTAAATATATTTTTATAATTTTTTGTATAGATCTACGGATTTATTGTGAAGCGCACGAAAATAGTTTAATAAGACTTTTTATAATATAATAAGAGAGATTTAATAATTTTTAAAAGTCGCAAATAATTTTGTTGAAAATTGGATTCAAGTTGCTGTGTGGGCTATATTGAACCTGCGCGATATTTTCGTACATAAAACCATTGAGACCATGCACTGGGTCCTTGTGTTCCTAGAGTTGCTTGTATAAACATGAATATAAATATACTACAAACACAAAAATAACTTCAAGTGATAAAATAAAATTGTTATTATCCAATTTTTTATCGGTAACTGGGGATGCCAAAAAATAATTTTACCTAGTATCACCCTGGGATATTATCACAGGTAATATCACAAGTGCTTTGGAAATTGTCGAGATATTCCCGACTCGCAAAGCGAGGAGGGGATTTATTTGAGATTTATCTGGGAAAGCACAAGTGGTATTTACTAAGAATATTCCACGAGTCAAATTATGTCCAACATAGTTCCAAAATGTGCCAAATATTGAAAATAACTGAAAGCGTATGTTAAAATCAGAGGTTGTATTGTACGCTGTTATTGGATGTCGATACACATTTTGTTGTGAGACGCGCATTGCTGATCTCTTGATTTTCATAAGGCCAATAGGATTTTTTTCCATTTTTGTTGAAGGAATGGAACTGATACGAATAATTTTTATAAATAATCTTTGTTTTTAGACGAACGAAGTAAAGATAACGTTCCCAAAACAATTTCTCATTCATTAACGACAAAATCACAACACAGTACATCAAATAATTGTGAATATACATTTCTGTGGACTTCAAAAAAGGACAAAAAAATGTGGACGAAAGGAAATGGACACAATACATATGGCCATATGAAATAATGGTCATTATATTCAGTTGACGAATTATTTACGGACAAAAAAGGTGACAAAACGTCTGCGGACCAAATTAAAGTGGACACTATAAAGTGGACAAAGTGTCCTGGAAGCTGTACAAAATTAGCACTATGAAAAAGGTCATGTATAATTTTTTGAAAAAAATGTAGTTTTTGCGTAATTTGCGCTTGGAATTATCGCATTTTTTCTCAAAAACCGTTCCAAATTTTTGCTTTAAATTTTCTCTACTTATGTAATAAGGGACAGTAAAATATGGCGCTAATCTCATTTTCGGGTATTGCCCGGTGTTTCGAAAACTGCAACAAATAACTTTTAAAACTACAAAATTGAAGATAGAGATTTTTGCCTTAAGACAAAATTTGTAGTACAAAATTAACTCTTTAAAAAAGGTCATGTAATTTTATCTAAAAAACAAGCAGTTTTTGCCTAATATGAGCTTGAAATTTACGAATGTTTTGTCTGAAAACAGCTCCAAGTGTTTTCTTTAAATTTTCTCCACATATGTAATACAAGACGATGAAATTCATACTAATCTCATTTTCGGGTGTAGCACTTTTTTCATAAATTGATAAAAAAATATTTAAAAATATAAAATTTAAGACAGAGATTTATGCATCAAAGTCTGTTGTAAAAAAACAGCTCTTTAGAAAAGGTATGTGCATTTTTTGTAAAAGTTAGTAGATTTTGGGTAATTTCTTATTGAAATTAACGAAGTATTATGGCGTACTATCGTACATAACAATAATATTGTAATATTGCAAGAAAGTATGTGTTGTGAACTAGCGTTCCTTTGAAGTTTGGTTGTAAATCTTCTACAAACGTAACATAATTTATCGGGTTGATTTTCACACTTACGATGTGAATTGACGATTTTCATTTTATCAAACCGATTCAATTCTACAAGACATGCGGCGAATTTCACTTCACAAAAACCACATAACTGTAATGTATTAGAGTATTTGAAGCACACGCAAACCAGACAGAATTTCACGCGCACTGCGGATGCAGTTTCTCATGTCACCGTCTGACCTCGAATATACCACCCCAACAGTTGGATACTTGTATAATTGCGATAAGGCAAGAGGCAAAAATTCGAAGAAAATCACGATTCGTAATTATTTTCGGTATCTGATACGCTGTAGGAAATGTGAAGGTATACGTGATTTGTTTTCAAAACATGTCGTTTTGTATAAAATCGAGTATGTTGCGCACCCTGCCTTCCTGGAGGTAAATATCTTGTTCCGTAGTGTAATTCGCCGTTTCCCCCCTCAGCATTTCAATACTTTTGCGTAACCCCGATAACAATACTTTGTCTTCTTACGAAGTAAGGAGAAAGAAAAATACAAAAATACGTACCTACGATTCCTCCATAGCACGGGAGGCTCTGCATCATCGTTGCCAAGCCGTGCGCGGTGGCGCTAGCGTTGTCAATTGGCCGGCGTTGTCAA